GAAAATAACCCCCCCCTGGGCGCGAGCGCGCGGCGGGGACAATACCACAATGGTCCCATTCGCTCCGGTGGGGGGGGGGGGGGTTTGAAACATGGCGACTTTGCGTACACTGATATCGTGAAACTTTCTCTTTACTAAACTCCGATAAAAGAGAGAAGTAAACTTGTGTGCCTGGAGATCAGACACAAGTTAGAATTCTTGGGGTCTCAAATGCGCTGTCCATCGAGTCAAATGGTTTTGGTATTATACGTCTTTCAACCTTGAGAGTAGTAGTCAATATACTGAATCTGACTCTGACTGCCATCTGTTCTGGCGAAGGGGGATTGCTTCTCCCAGCAGACACATCGGCTACCTGGGGCCAGAAAGTCTGTCACAGCACAAAAAATGTCGGGCCAATACCCGGGTAAAATTAAGGCATAGGGATACTTGTAACGATACAACCGCCTCAACAATGAGGCAAGCCAAAAGTGAGAAAAAATAAGGGATAAGAAATACCTTGACTCCAGACAAGCTGAAAACAGTAAGCAAAACGGAATGCCGAAAACTGTAGGTAAAAAACTCACTATCACGCTATGTGTCCCCCAACCACGACGGAAAGCGCCCAACGTGAAAGGCAACACGACTGTGCCAATCCAGGGTGAACTCAAAATGAGAAACGAACCTGAGAATGGACGACTGATGCTCGCTCGTTCGGAACTCCGGCACCACCCCCGATCCCCGACCGCTGATCGACTCATCCTGATCGACAACTTGGAGATATCCCACCGCCGGGGCGAATAAACCAAGCGAACGTGGGACTGGCTACGGACCCTCGGGTCCAGCAATTGGACAATTAATCATGGTGCATCCACTAGATGGCCTGTTCGCCTATTCTTTCGCAAGCCAATGTGGCTCAATGGTAGAGCATCGCTTTCCTACCTTCATTGAAGGTTAAGAGGCGAAGGTTGCGGGTTCGATCCCCGTCATTGGTTATTGTCATCGAACTTCTTTCTGTTTTTCTATGTATTGGATGATGGAAAATAGAGATAATCAAAGGAAAGCGCCAGATTTGAATGTGTGGTCATGCAGGATCTCAGGCTCAGCTTAGTGCTCTGTCAGGTATAGAAGTTGGACACTGTGTCCTGGATCCGCTCCTACTTGGGTATCATTCAAGGTTTGTGCTTCAGTCGATCGAGGAAGGATGTTCTTCATGCTCTTACCCTACACG